GCTGCTGCTCAGACATCTGCAGTTCGTCATGGTGCTTGTCTTGGGTTAGGTCTTGCGGCAATGGGCACACAAAATCAAGATGTTGGCAATACATTGATATTATTTCTATGTTGCATGACATCTTAGATATTTTTCTCAGGTTTACCTCCAACTCCGCGATGCATTGTATCTGGATGATGCTGTATCCGGAGAAGCTGCGGGATTGGCTATGGGCTTGGTAATGGTAGGAAGTTTGAATTCGGCCGCCTTCCAAGATATGGTTCAATACATTTGTGATACCCAACATGACAAGATTCAACGTGGTCTGCGAACGGGAATATCTTTACTGGCATACGGTTAGTTGATATTCCCCTTACAAGATACTGAAGGATGTTAATTTGTAAGCATCTTTTTAGGAAGGCAGGATGAAGCTGAGTCTTGTATTGGACAGCTTATCGACGTAAAATCTAATGCCATGCTGCGCTCAACGGGAGTAGCAATGTTGTCAATGGCATACGTTGGTAGTGGGCGCGCTAATATCGTTTCAAGGCTTTTGGAAAAGGTGCCAGTCAGTTTAAGCTTTATTCTGTCAGTTGCTTACATCATTGTTTCTTAGGTGGCAACTGATCCAAATAATGACGTCAAAAGATTTTCCGTTATGGGAATTGGATTTTTATTGAGCAAGTAAGTTTTTTTCCTCGTTTCCCAGAGGTAGCTGGAGATCTGAAAGTTGGAAATATGGAAAAACGGCACTTGAAAAAGTATTTGATGTGAAATTTCATAGGCCACCGATTTTTGTTAAATATTTAGGTATTAGTTTACAATTAATTATAAAGTACAAGCAAAAATACTGATTCTTAATCATTGATGCTTTGATTTCAGTAGTCCAGCTATATGTAAAGATTACGTGGGAATGCTTGTTGAACATTTCAACAGCCATGTGCGCTACGGTGCTGCAATGGCGCTCGGTATCGCTTGTGCTGGAACTGGATATAAGGTGTGATCGCACGTCTCAGTGCATTACATTTTATGACAGTGCTTTTTTAGGAAGCCATATCCCTGCTCGAACCACTCCTTTCGGCCAAGGAAAACTATGTGCGTCAAGGAGCTGTCATAGCATTGTCATTTATTTACGTGCAACAAACTGACATTAGTTGCCCTAAGGTCTTTTTTCTTCTTGAATATCTTTTTTTT